TAAGGTTACAAACTTACAAACGTCAATTCGAGCTAACGCAAATGGAGGACAAAGAAATGATCAATGATTACATTACGCGCATTACCCGGTTAGTCAACCAAATCAAGTCATGTGGCGAAACTATTCTTGAGCAAAATGTTGTATCAAAAGTGTTACGTTCGTTAACATCACGGTTCGATAACATTGTTGTGGCTATTGAAAAGTCAAAGGATCTAACAACTTTGAGCAAAGACGAGTTGCAAAGTTCGTTAGAAGCGCATGAACAAAGGATGGATGAGAGAAGTGCCGACAAAGCCAAAGCGGAGATCGCTTTGCAAGCGCGTTTACATGAGAAGAACAAGAGAACAAAAGGGAAGTGATCTTCAAAGAGTAAGAAGAATTTTGCTGGAAAAGATCCACAAAATTCGAAGGGCGAAGGAAGCTCCAAAGATGGTAATTAAAGCGCCTACAAACTGTTTGACAAAAGTTCTGTGAAGTGTTATAATTGTCAAAAGTTTGGGCATCTTGCGAAAGAATGTCGCTCAAAACACAAAGAAAAAGATGCAAATAGAGACTTATGGAGGCAATCAATATTTTGTACGTTCATTGACGATTTTAGTAGGAAGCTTTGGACATATCTTATCAAGAGAAAGGATGAGGTATTCGGAGTGTTCAAGAGTTTCAAATCCATGGTGGAGCGTCAAAGCGGTTGAAAGCTCAAAATTCTTAAAACGGATGGTGGAGGTGAATATACTTCTAGTGAGTTTGGGAAGTTTTGTGATGTTGAGGGTATTGTGTGTGAGGTGGTACCTCCATATACGCCTCAACAAAACGGGGTTGCCGAGAGGAAAAGTCGTACAATAATGAACATGGTGCGTAGTATTCTTTGTGGGAAGAAGTTACCTAAAGAGTTGTGGGGTGAGGCCGTTTCTACAACCACCTACTTGTTGAATAGGTGTCCTACTAAGAATCTGAAGAAGATTACACCAGAAGAGGTTTGGAGTGGTTTCAAACCAAGTGTGAATCACTTGCGCGTTTTTGGATCGATTGCATATTGTCATGTGCCGAATCAACTTAGAAAAAAGTTGGACGATAAAGGTGAAAAGTTGATATTTGTTGGATATCACTCTACTGGAGGTTACAAGCTATTTGATGAGAGGAATCGGAAAATCGTGATAACCCGAGATGTGCAGTTTGATGAAATAAAAACTGCTGAAACAGCAAGTGTAATCGATTATGCCAATGCTGCTAACCGATTACAACCTGCTGAACATCAGTAGTTTGTTGATTTTTTTTGATCCGGAGAGTTCCGATGCCGCTGTTCCTGTACCTACAGTAGTTGACAATGATGTTGTGAATAATGGTAGACCAGTGAGGCAAAGAGCCTTGCCTCATAGACTCCGAGATTGTGAGAGGTTCCAAGATAACGAAGTGAATAGTGATGGTGATCTTATTCATTTTGCACTTATGGCCGAATCTGAACCGGTAAATGAGGAGGAAGCCTTAAGTGATCCTAAATGGATATGTGCAATGAAAGAGGAGCTGGAATCTATTGAGAAAAATGGTACTTGGGAGTTGGTCGATTTACGACATGGAAAGAAACCGATCGGTGTGCGATGGGTCTATAAAGTCAAAGCAAATCCTAAAGGTGAAATAATCAAGTACAAAGCTAGATTAGTGGCGAAAGGGTTCTTGCAACGTGAAGGTATAGACTATGAGGAGGTATTTGCACCGGTGGCTAGATTGGAGACTATTCGTTTGGTTGTTGGGATTGCGCATAGCAACAATTGGGTGATTTATCAAATGGATGTGAAATCTGCGTTTTTGAATGGTCCTCTTGATGAGGAGGTTTATGTGGGGCATCCACCCGGTTTCGTGATCAAAAATCAAGAGAGGAAGTACTACAAGCTACACAAAGCGTTGTACGGTTTGAAACAAGCTCCAAGAGCTTGGAACAAACGTATAAACGACTTTCTTATTGACATCGGTTTCAAACGGTGTGTATCCGAACATGGTGTTTATGTCAGATCGGATACTATTGATGGTATTATCATACTGTGCTTGTATGTTGATGATCTCTTGATTACGGGCAGCAATGACAAGAGTATTTCAAAGTTCAAAGTGGAGCTTATGAGTGAGTTTGAGATGATGGACCTTGGTGTCATGAGATACTTTCTTGGCATAGAGTTCCACAAGTCAAAAGTGAGGCTGCTTATGCATCAAAGAAGGTATGCTCTAGATATCTTGAAAAAGTGTGAAATGGAGCATTGTAATGCTTCTAATACACCTTGTGAGGCTAGAGTTCAGCTGTCCAAAAGTGATGATGAGGATGATGTGGATCCAACACTTTACCGGAGTTTGATTGGATCGTTACGGTATTTGTGCAATACTCGACCAGACTTGGTTTTTAGTGTCGGGATTGCGAGTAGATTCATGGAGAGACCTAAGGTGTCTCATTTGGCGGCGGTCAAGAGAATCCTTAGATATGTGAAAGGTACTCTTGGTTGTGGTATTTTGTTTCCCACATCGGATATGGGTTGCAAATGTACTTTACTTGGCTACACCGATTCTAATTGGTGCGGAGATAAAGATGATCGAAAATCTACGGCGGGTTACATCTTTATGTTCGGTAGTACACCAATCTCATGGTGTTCGAAGAAGGAACCGGTTGTAGCACTCTCTTCTTGTGAGGCCGAGTACATTGCGGCATCATTGAGTGCTTGCCAAGCTATGTGGTTAGTGAATCTCATGAAGGAATTGGGATGTGGTGATGATGATGCCACCACACTGTTTGTGGATAATGTTTCCGCGATAAATCTTGCGAAGAATTCGATTGCACACGGAAGGAGCAAGCATATTGAGATGTGGTTTCATTACTTGAGAGAATTGGTCGGTGATGGAAAGCTTAGATTGAGCTATTGCCGAAGCGAGGACCAAGTTGCGGATTTGTTGACCAAGGGTGTGACAAATGAGGTGTTCAAGAGACTGTTGAAGAGCTTGAGCATGATGAACTTGGAGCAACTAAAGTGAGGTGGTGTGTTGTGAGCTGTTTTGAAAAGCTGTTAGTTTTCCAAAATAACAGAATTTAACAGCATGGCACTTTAGTTGTATTTTGTATTAGTTGTGCTATTCTCTCATGTGTATATATACATTGTTGTAATCCCAATTCATGGTTAATGCCAATTTAGTGATTCATCCAATATTACTCTCTTCCATATTCTCTCTTTCTCTCAATTCATCTTCTTTTTAAGTTTCTTTTCACCATTGTTACTACCTTCAAAATTCTGGTTTTATATTTTATATTGTTCTAACACTTACATGATTATTCAATGTATCTAAATTTTTTTTTTTTTAATAATACCGACTAGACGGAATATGTAGAATAGTTCTTCAACTGCACTAAGATCATAAAATGAATAAAAATGTTAACACTGCATACAAATTAAGATATTGATTGATACTGTTGACTAAATTAAAATAAAATACCTCCTTATTTGTATTATCATTTTTTTTATTTGTAAAATATATCAATGTGTAGTACAAGAGATACTCAATTTCATTTGTGCAATTGCTTTGCAAATATTAGAATTAGAACACCAATTTGCAAAATCATAAGTGTTGAAATTTGACTTGGCTACATACCAAAACCAAACATTTTTTCTTTAAAAGGTGAATAATTAGGTGTCTGTATTATTTTTATTATTATATTAATTTGCAGTGCATGAATTGTCTCATATGGGAAATGATTTAAAACAACTATTGACCAATGGTTTAAAACTAACAACTATTGAACAACACGTATTTGTTTTATCTTGTTTTTGTGGAATCCTAACAAGGGCTTTGACCAGTTCTACAACCAGCAATATCATCAATGGCAAAGAAACCTGTGAAGTACTACGTGGTATGCATGTTTATTTGTTCGAATATTAAATGTTTTCTTTATTGTGAAAAAATAGTTGTTGTGGTGTGTGTGTGAATCTGAGTGATGAGATATACAGGTGGATGCATTCACAGATTCAGCTTTCAAAGGAAACCCAGCAGCAGTGTGTTTATTAGAACAAGACAGAGACGATAAATGGTTGCAATCATTAGCTGCTGAATTCAATATTTCTGAAACATGTTTCTTGACTCCAATTCATGGTACTTCTGTTCCTCGTTTTGGTCTCAGATGGTTTACTCCTACTACTGAGGTTAAGATCTAGCTTTTCATTTTAAACTTTTCAATTCTCTTAAACATGGATTATTATTATTAACATCATTTGAATTCTATTATACTCCAGGTTAAACTTTGTGGTCATGCCACATTAGCAGCATCACACACACTCTTTTCATCCGGTTTGGTCGACACCAATGTTATTGAATTCGATACACTATCTGGAATTTTAACTGTCAAAAAGATCCCTTCAGTTGATGCTACTGGTGCGCTGAACTTGCAGAATGGTGAAGCTCCGGTTGGGTTTTATATTGAATTGGATTTTCCTGCAGATCCTACCACAGAATTGAACTCGGATGACACTTCACTCATTTCTAATGCATTGAATGGTGCTTCAATCATTGATATCAAGAAGACACAAAAAGGAGATAATTTAATTGTAAATCCGTTTTTCTATTATTTTTGTGTTTCATTGTGTAATGTACTATGTTTTAATTTAACTGCTGTTGATTGTTTTGTGCAATTCATACACATTCAACATTATTAATCTTGTTATTTCTCCTAGGTTGTTGTCGCGTCTGGAAAAAATGTGACAGAAGTAGAGCCACAACTTGATGCGATTGTTAAATGTCCAGGAGCGGGAATAATTGTTACAGGGATTGCTCCTCCAGAGTCAGGATTTGACTTCTACAGTCGATATTTCAGTCCAAAGTTTGGAATCAATGAGGTAAATTGCTAATGTCTCCTTAACTATGCAATGAATGAAGAGATGAATACAGAAAATCTAAGTAAAGTAGGTTCAGATTGAGTTTTTTAACACAACTCAAAGTCTGAGATAGTGTTGTTAATAACTCATATTTTCTTTTAGGATCCTGTTTGTGGAAGTGCACACTGTGGCTTGGTACCCTATTGGAGCAAGAAGCTGGGGAAGTGTGATTTTAAGGCTTATCAGGTACTACTACTACTAATCTTTCTCTTCCCTCATTTGGATTATCTTTGTCATTGTTGTACTAATTTATCGATTTTATTTGTGCAGGCATCAGCTAGAGGGGGAGTTCTTGATCTTCATCTTGACGAGCAGAAACAAAGAGTGTCTTTGCGTGGGAAAGCTGTAACAGTGATGGAAGGGTTTGTTCTGGTCTAGTCATGTTTCTAGCATTGCAGAAATATTTGTGATAAATATAACATTTCACAAAATTTGTTATTGGAATAGCACTTAATTGTTATGATAATAAATATAACATTTCACAAAATTTGTTATTGGAATAGCACTTAATTGTTAAGTGCTATTAAGCAAACACTTAATTGTTATGCACTCTTGATTGATAAATATCTGAATTCTCATTGAAGTTGATGGATGAATTGTATAAATCAGTACTTGATGTTTCATTTTGCTTTTTATATGCGTATCTGTGTTTGGTTCAATGTTTCTTCTTGCAAATTCAATAAAGAGAAAATTGAGGGAGGTGATAACTTCTGCAGCAAAACAAGACCACAGGCTCAAAAAGAAGATGCAACCCCATTGCCATTGCAATTGTCACAAGGCCATAACTTTATTAATATTTTCAGAACTCAAGTTCTTGATTACAAGACATCAAAATTTATTTTATTATTATTTTGTTACATAAGATGGTCACCTCAACATTGCATTGCATGATTTATTGAGACTGTGATTGAGATTGAGGCTGAACCAACGGGCCACGGTTTCCATTATACTTAATTTGAGCAACCTCCCTCTTTCGAAGTCCGAAAGCATTTGCAAGAACCTCACCAGGAGTTGCCCTAAACACTTGCTTTACATGGCTAACAGCAGCTCTATCATTTGTCTTGAACACTACATACTCCAATCCTTCTTCATTTCCTGCTTGTTGAGCCACCACAAAGTTTTGTGGCACCACCACCAATTGTCCCTTTCTCACCTTGTCGTCGAACACTGGGTTTCCTTGACTGTTCACTATTCTAACTCTTCCTTGTCCTCTAATCACGTACAAGAGGCTGTTGGCGTTGATGTTCCAGTGTGGAGCATATATACCATTCTGCATGTTCATACATACATTGTAATATACACATTAACCATATAATGAAAATATACACATTGGTTAAATAATTAGTACTATATACATACCCTGTAGAGAAGAACATATTCGGCACTGAGGCGTAAGTTGCGGAGGATTGGGAGGGTTAAACTGTTGACAGTGCTGATGCGACCAGCACGTGGGTTGTAGAGATCAGCACGTGAAGGACGAGCGATGTTCTCAAGAATCTTTGGACTGCAAATAGTTTCTTCCAAACCATTGTCTCCTCCTTTGCTGTGTTGACCATGTATTTCTTCCTCTTCCTCCTCCTCTTCCCTTTCCTCTACTTGTTCTTTTTTTTCTCCTCTTCCGTGTGATTCCCGTTTCTTTTCTTCTGTTTTTTTCTTCCACTTTTTAATAATCTCATGGATGAGAGGTTCATCCTCTTCTTCCTCCTCTTCTTTTTCACTGTGTTTGTGATGTCTTTGTTCTCGTTCTTCTTCCTCTTCCTCTTTCTCCTCTCTTTGACTGTGACTTCGTTCTTCTTCTTGCAACTCGGGACTGATAATGTCAAGACCGTTCTTTACTTTTACGATTTGACCCCTTTTACCATGTGGAGATTGAAGTTTCTCAGCTGTTTCCTTATTGGTGTTGAGTGAGTGTGCTAAAAACTCTGCGCTGAAGCCACTCAACACACTGTTACCTTTCTTTTGTTCCTCGGATTCCTCCTCTTGTTGATGTCCACCTCTACGTCCAGTTGGGACACTCTGCCTTTGTTGATGTTTTTCCTGTGTTTCGGGGAACTCTGCCTCTGGAAGGTTTCCGCCAAGGTAAAATACCTTCAAACACATACTTACATGTAATTAATTGAATAGAGAATATTATACGTTACAAAAGTTTATAAGTCTCTTCAACGGCATGACAGTATCGAAATTTGGATAATGTAACGTATAGTTATACAATTACTTACTCTGGGGTTTGAATCAAGCTGGTTTAGAGTGTTGGAAGTGTCGAGAAGACTAATGGCAACAAGAGGTTCATCCCCATGGTTATAGGTCCAGTAAGGAATTCCAGGTGGAATGGCAATGACATCACCTTTAGAGAAGCGTCGAATCTTCTGGTGGCTGTCACGTAGTTGTTGCTGCTGTCTAGATTGTGAGCGTGGTTCTTCGTAAGTTTCAGGACAACCAGGGACTGCAAGCCCAAGTACTCCCTTCCCTAAAAAAAACATTAATCAATTACAAAAAATTCAATGAGTTCATATAATAATGAATATTTAATCATTATGTAAATTTGATCATATAATAAAACCTTGGATGATGAAAATCAACTGTGGAGATGGTGAATAAGAAGGCAAGTGAAGGCCATTAGGATCAATGGTGCGGCGGATAAGAGATACACCAGCGCATTGTAGCTCAGGATGATTTGGATTCCATGTCTCAGTGAGACCGGCTTCTGACTCAACACGGCGATCTGGTTCCAATGCATTGATACTGTCAAGCTGGCATTGGTTGAACCTGTCTAACTCAGAGTGATGTGCTAAACATGCAGTGCTGAAGAGCAGCAAGCAGAGGGAAAAAAGGAAGTGTTTGGCCATTGTGATAGTGATCATTAACTGATTACTAATGAGAATGATGAAGCGAAGAACCTGCGGTGTGGTTATTTATAGAGATGGGAGAAGGGTGAAGGAGGGACACGTAAGGGTGACATTCACCATCATGCATGGTTTCCAGTTCCTAAATGATTACACCTCTCAAATGATGATGATGATATATATGTTCGCAATGACAGCACAGAATGAATATTTGTTGCTATTCTTACATATGTAGTAGTCCTCATCACTTCATAGGCGGTGATATTTACCTTCCAAGTATTTGAACTCAGCTAAGCACTATTTCAAGGCATCGTAGAACAATTTGCATGCTCTCCTAAGACCAACTCTAATGGGAGTTCTTAGATTGGGTTTGCCAACATGGCACTCATATTTGTTGTTTTCAAGATGGAAAAGTTCTTAAATATGCAACGGTTCTTCAATGGTTCTTATATTAAAATATTAATTTTATAATATAAAAACTATAATTTGATATAAAATTTTATTTATTATTTTAATTATCATTTTAATTAAAATTTAAATATTTAAATTATAATTTTAAATAAAATAAATTTAATATAAATAATATTTTTTAAGTAAAGTGGTGGGACCCAATATGAATTCTTTAGAGTTGCACCGTTGGAGTGAAAATTGAATGAGTTGCTTTAAAAGAGTGGGTCCCACAAAGAACCTAAAAATGGGTTGCACCATTGGAGATGCTCTAAGGAGATATCAGACTTCAACCCCAACATGACGTGCCATCAACTGAACATAGACTTTAGAGCAACTTTAGTACAGGTTATTAAACCAAATTTTTTTATAGTTTACATTAGTAATAAAGAATTTGTATTATAGTAGAGTTGATGTGGCATCTAAGTAAACTAAAATTTAGTTTCCATTAGCTATTTAGTTAACGTTAACTAGTAAAATATATTATAATATTATTTATTTAATTAATAAAATATTCCAACAACATTAAAGTAATGACATGATATTTGAAAATAGTAACGGTCATATTTTTTACCTTTTATAAATTCTGTAAAAACTTTAATTTTTTTTACATACAATTTTACTTCTAAATTTTTTCTTTTATTATAATTATTTACAAACTCCCAATAACAGTTCTCAAAATTTTAAAATGTGTCCGCTACCATGGCTCCTTATTGGTGACGGTTTTCAAAATCTCCAACCTTTTATGTTTCAATCACCACCATTCTCTACCGACAACCATTCTCAATATACCCGATCGTTTATGTTTCAACCACCACCAACTCAAAATCTCCACCCTTTTATGTTTCAATCACCACCATTCTCTACCGGCAACCATTTTCAATATACCCGACCGTTTATGTTTCAACCACCACCAACTATCGGGGAGAAGACGGGCGCCGCCGACGCTAGGAGAAGGAAAAGGCATAAACAATGAAAACCCTAATAGGCCAAAGGCATAAACAATGAAAATCCTAATAGGGCAAAGTTTTCTGTATAACCCTCCCCACTCTTATTAATTCCTATTCTTTTTTCTTTTTCTTTTTCATTTATTTTCATTTTATTATTTTATTTGTTTTTTTTATAACCCTCCCCACTCTTATTAATTCCTATTCTTTTTTTTTTCTTTTTCATTTATTTTCATTTTATTATTTTATTTGTTTTTTTTTAATAGTTGTAATTAGTAATAACTCTTTTTTATAATTTTAAAAGCTTAACCTTTTTATAACTTAGAATTAAGATCTTTTAATAATAAAACTAATATTTTTTTTAAAATTAAAATTAACCTTTTTTTATAATCAAATCTAACTCTTTTTCTAGATTAACATTAACCTTTTTTTTAAATTTAAATTCTAACACTCTTTTTTAAAATTAAGATCCTAACACTTTAATTCCTTTATATATATATATATATATATATATATATATATATATATATATATATATATATATATATATATATATATATATATATATATATATATATATATATATATATATATATATATATATATATATATATATATATATATATCATAATTTTCTAACTTTTCAAAACTCTAACTTTTAATTTAAACTTTTTCTTAATAAATTTCTAACATTTCACTTTCAATTTCTAATTGCACCCTCACCTAAAAAAATTTCTAAAATTCCTATTTTTTCCGTTTAATTTTCATCTAACTTTCGTTGTCCTTGGTTACTAATTTCGTATTTTATCATATTTTCATTTTTTTTTCGGTTTGTAATTACGCGAGGCTATTGTCGCTTTATTCTGTTTTTATGGTTGTAATTTACACGAGTAATCGTCGCTTTTATTTCATTATTATTCTTGCATTTTTGTTTGGGTTTGTAATTTACGTGAGGTTATCGTCGCTTTGCATCCTTTACCGTTTTCTTACTTTGCCATGTTTCCATACTGTTTAATCATTTTAGTTATTATTTGCCGCTAAGTCCCTTCCGAAGGATTAGGTCTAAACAGTTTGACCACCGAGTCAATAGTCCTAACCCTTGACCGTTTCAAAACCCTAATTGCCTAGGTGTCCCGCCGTGGATAAAAATACCCTTTACCCTAGCATTAGGTCAAAGAGTCGCCGTACTGTTTTAGGGTTTCCCGCCGTGGAACATTTAGTCAACCCTAACTTTAGGTCGAAGAGTCGCCATACTCTGTTTTAGGGTTTCCTGCCGTGGAATCCCTAATTTAACCCTAATTTCAATTAACAGTTTCAACATAGAAAATAGGAGTTCCAAGACTCCACGTAAGCGTATCCTTAAGATACGTTTACTCCCCTTGAAACCTTGACCACAGTCAAGACGTTTCTAACATCCCTTTCGAGGGGAACTACAATTACTCTGATTCCGTTCCCGTCAGGATATGTAGGCACAAGATGCAACGTCTTGCCGAGTAAACTTAGGACTAACCCTTAGGTTTTTAGGTCACTCTATCCCTTAGCTCAGTACATATACATTCAAACAGATAATAAAATAAAAAGGCATACAATAAACAAAAGGTTCCTGTAGAGTACTACAAAAGTTTAGGATGCTAGTACCTTCCCTAAACTTAACCAACCCCTTACCTAGGTCTCTCCCCGCATTGTGTTCACGATGCAAAAATAGGTTTTCCCTCTTTTGAGCTTTTCCTTCGGATAAATCAAAGAGCGGTTGTGAATTGAATTGTGATTCAAAATAATTAATAGTTTGATATCCTATTTCCACCACAACAATATATCCCTTTAAAGGTGAAATGATACCTCAGAAGGCACAATGATACTCTAGAGTGCCCAATTCAAAATATTTCAAATATAGTGTTTTATTTAAACAAATAAAGGGCCCCATTAAAAACTGATATCTTTGCAAAGGGATAAAAAAATTACTCTATCATTTTATTGATTTCTTTCTTGATGTTATGAATTGTGATTGCAGTTTATAAGCTCGCCATATTATTTTTCAACGAACTGTAATAATGTCTTAAACTTACAACATTCCAAGATCTATGAGCTTCCTCTCCATTTAAACTTTCTAGCTTATAAGTACCTTGGGAAAAAAAATTATTGTACTTGGTAAGGGCATTCCCAATTAGGGAATAAATTCCTGATCCTGGTGGGTGCTATCATCTGCTTAAGTACTAATCACCTTGTTTCATTTTTCTAGGCTCTACTTGAGTGTTATATCTTCTTTTTTTTCCTCTAGTTTGTTGTAAACTCTTAAATCTAAGTCATTTATATGACTTCATAAAGTATATTGGCGACATACTTGAGTCATGTCCCATTTTCTTCATTGTTGAAATGTTCTATCCGCCAAGTAAGTGTATCAATTTCTACATGAAGTCTGATATCAACACCATATACCAATTTAATAGGGTTTCCTTGATGGATGAACATGGAGTTGTGTGGTACAACCATAATATTTATGGCACTCACTAGTGTCCTCAATGTTCATGTTAATATATGGAAGGGGTAAGGAATATAAAAGATAAAAAAAATTAGTGATGAGATAATGAGAAATAAACACCTTACATTATTATTTCATCCAAAGTAACTTTGATTTGTCAAGTTTCTTTTGAATTCCATGTAAAATGATCTTGTTGGAAGAATTTACTTGTCTGTTAGCTTATGGGTGTTCAACTGAGATTAACTTTGTATGTATCCATTGGTGATGACAGGACCCTACCACTATGGAGCTGGCGATCGAGTCTGTTATCAGAGATGATGTTTCAGTAAAAAAAATAGCCCCACATTTCTCGAGAATTAAGATTAAGAATAATTTATATACAATACACATACTCCTCAATCCAACAAGATGCATTTTTCAAAAGACAAAATCATGAAAAATTCGCACATCTAAAGGAGAATTGTTTCTGTTAGTTGTGGTGGATTATATCACCAAATGGGTGGTGGCTGAGGTTGTACCCCAGATCATGGCAGAAAGAGTAAGATGTTTTTACTAGAGGAATATCATATGTCGTTTTGGTGTACACAGGATCATTGTTTTCGATAACGACACACAGTTCGCAAGCTCGTTAGTGGTGAAATTTTGCAGGCACTTTGGCATACAAAATTGGTTTATTTTTGTTGAAAATCCTTAGGCTAATGGCCAAGCAGAAGTAGTGGATAAGATCATCCTGTCAGGAATGAAGAAAAATCTAGATGAGGCAAAGGGTTTTTGGGCCAGATATTTGCATTATATTTTATGGTCATATCATACCACCTTTAATTTTACCATTAAGGAAACTCGCTTTCGGATGGTATATGGGGCTGATTCGCTGTCGCGCACAGGTCAAAAATGAGTTTATAAGTGTAGTTTAGGGAAGCGACACTCGAATGTCGTATCACTAGGACTCTTGGAAAAGTTAACCAACTAAAGAAACAATATATGGGGTTTTATGTTCGATTAAGAATACAGGAAAAATAAGTGATTATGAAATAAGCTAAAATGAGTCAACCTACTATTCAAGTTGTAACGCTCCAAACTACTTTCAGGTTTACCGACTGACCCCACAAACCAACATAGGTCTTTTCAGCATGCTTTGTCCTCAC